ACACACACACACACACACACACACACATACAACATAAACACTCTCTATCTCCCTCAGTCAAATGGGCACCTGTCAGAGACCGGTGGTCGTCAAACGCAAGGCCGCCACGACCTGTACTAGCAACAGCGACTGTGGAAAAGACCAATGCTGTTACTTCAACCTGGCAGTCAGTAAAAGACAAGACTTCAACCTCCCTATTTTCAAGGGCACCTGTCGCGTCAAGAGCGCATGTGAGCAACGTTTCGACATTAACCCTCACATCATTTACTAGACGAGTCAGTCACGCGACATTCTTCATGACGCTAGAATCTGCTCAATGAGTCCGTCAAGCGACAGTACCAATGGCGGAATTAGATGAGTCCGTCACGAGAGATGATGAACTGAGCGCGGAAATAAAGTGTCATATCTGCAAACTCTTCAATCCTTCCTATTGTGAAGCGTGTTTGTCTGTCTGTTCAGTTGGTTGGTTCTTTGTTTGGTCGGTTGTTTGTTTGTTTGGATAGTTAGTTATTTACCATGTTGTTTGGTCGGTTGTTTGTTTGTTTGGATAGTTAGTTATTTACCATGTTGTTTGGTCGGTTGGTTGTTTGTTTGGATAGTTAGTTATTTACCACGTTGTTTGGTTGGTTGGTTGTTTGTTTGGATAGTTAGTTATTTACCATGTTGTTTGGTTGGTTTGTTGTTTTCGTTATTAGTTAGTTTGTTTGTTTATTTATTTCTTCAGTTGGTTGGCTGTTTGTTTCTTTCTTTGTACGGTTGGTTTGTTTTAGCATTTTTATAAAAGGAGACGTTTTTCCCCCCACAAAAACTGACATTTGAGGCGGGGGCAGACAGAGCTCCATGTGTGTGATGTAGATTTGTTTCTCGAGTGTCTTTACAAGGACAAAGTTTTAAGCTAGTTTGTTTAGGTACAAAGAACAACATCGACACAGTAATGATCATTTAGTGCTAGGAAAAAGGAAGGCAGACGGATAAAAACAACAGAGGGAAAGTAAAGAGGTTGAACCTACCAGTGTCGCTCTCCAACCACCCAAACGGCGAAGCCAAACTTTATTGTGTTGAGTTAACAGAAGAACCAAGACGACACAAAAACAGTCATTCAGGGCCGAGAAAGAGAAAGACAAAGACAGAGAGAAAGAAACAATAAAGGAAAGAAAAGACGAGGCCCTACCACTGACAACCTACACCCACCCATACAGACAGAAACGACAGAGGGGAAGAAAAGAAGTAAGATCTGCCAGTGACACCCTCCAACCACACATACAAATAGAAACAACAGTGAGAAAATATAGAAATAGGACCAGTAAGTAACATCCTATGACCACAAACACTGAAATAAAAATCAGAGTGGAAAAAGAAGTAAGACTTACCATTGACACTCTCCAACCACCCACAGAGAAGGAAAAAAAAAAGTAGGACATAGCAGCTGCGCCATCCAACCACCCACAGAGAAAGAAAAAATAAAGGGGAAGAAAACAAGTAGGACCAAGCAGTGGCACGCCCCCAACAACCCAAATAGAAAGAAAAAGCCAAAGGAGAAGAAAAGAAGTAGGACCTACCAATGGCACCCTCCAACATCAGAAAAAAGTCCTACCTCCAAGCATCCCCCCCCCCCTTCTTTTCCCCCAAGGACAGCATGTATGTCGTTTAAAAAACAAAGAAAGAATTGCAACATCTGTTACACCGACAACGTCAAACTTCTTTTTAGAAGTGCTCCACACCAGCGCGTCAGGCGTTGTCAAATGATAGGAATGCATGTCCGCAATGAGTCAAGTCGTAGTAGACTGGACATCTTTGGCTTCTTTCATAATTTCAATATTTAAAGCACTCACTACCGAAATGAATGGGATATAAAAATGAAAGTTCGACTGGTTCGCAGTTAAAGCAATCATGTGTACTTGGCTGAGCACCATGAACATTTTATAAACCGTGTGCCAGCGACAGCGATCCAACATTCAAAACACACTCCCTTCACTACAAGCCGAGAGTCGCTTTGACAGCTCGCTTCACTCCATTTCTCACTCTCCGTCTCTTCCCCCCCCTCCCCTCTCTCTCTCTCTCTCTCTCTCTCTCTCTCTCTCTATCTCT